TAACCACCCGCACCGAAAGCTTCAGTCATCTGGCTGACGGGGTGCCGACATTCCGAGGGTGGAAAAGAAGTGTTTAAAATTGCTAGTGTTATTCGACCGCTTATCCGGGAACACTACGACTGAAGTTGGCATCACACTTTGGTTACAACATGACGGTACCCGGCCACACACTGCTCTGTTGTTGAGAAGTTTCCTGTATTCGTAGTTTAACTGCAGACGGATTGTCCGAGGAGGACCGAAGGAATGACCTATTAGATCACCTGATCTATCTCACTTGAATTTCCTTATGTGGGCATATCGAAAGCGAACCGTTTATTCCCGAAAACCAAGAACGATCGATGAACTAAAATAGAGTATCTGCGCGCAGTACGAAAGTATTCCAACTTTTACTATTCTGAAGGTGGTAGAAAACTATCTCCGGCGTGTTTTGCTAAGCAAGCAGCAAGATGGGAATATGTTAAGCGACTTATAAGATGAATATGCATTTTTCAATAACCTTTTTTTTCTCCTACGGAATTCAATCTCCGATGTAGTGATCAAAATCCTTCAACGCGAAAATGCCAGTTGGGAGAATGCCAAGAAGAGTTTTGTGGTGGCCTATATTAATAAATATTGTCCATACTTAGAACAAATTCGATTTTTTATCATGCTTATCCGTTTACCGAACCCGAAGAAGAATAGTTCGTGGACGTGTCAAACGCAGGTCCAGTGTCTTCGTTGCTTGAGCATTCCGAATTTCCCACATGGCGTACCGTTTCACAACTGATTCTCCTGTGATGATTCTCTACCAACACTCAAGCAACATCGGATTCAGAACTTATCCTCCTATGCCGGCCCGAAAATCATCCGACCGATAGGGTTCATGTATCGATTGATCGGGTAGTTCAACCACAACAAGGGACCTGGTACTTGCCTCTTTTCCGTAGTATATGATATCAGTCGCCATGTTGGGTTATCACATGACTGAAGTCACGTTTTCACCGTGTACTGTGCAACATACTATCCACACAGTAATATAACATCTTAAATTAAAAAAAAGTATAAAATTCATTGTGATTAAACGTCCTATGATTTAAAAAGTATCTTAACGATTTTATAAAGCACTATTGTTGGTCATTCCGATCATTTACGCTTGCACTGCAGATACTCAGTCGGCTGTTTTTCTGTTTCGGAATATCGAGTTAACCCACCGATTTCCGTACAAGGCAGCAGGATATAGAAAAATGAATAAAATTGAATAAAATTCACCAGTGAATGTCACCATGTATCACCTCAATTAGACTTCTTGAGTTTACTCAACCCCTGTAAACTAGTTTTGGTAATATGTGCAACCGAACCTTCCAAACATACGACTTTACGATTATTAATCATCTTTGCTTTGGTTACCTAATTCGGAAACTCTTGTTGTATCTGACCTTTCGCATTTTCCACTATCGTAACTTGCCTCTTTATTACTAAACATGTTTGGAACTTCTTTCTAAGGCTAATACATTCAGAGATGAAGATGTGATAGAGGTTTTGTGCATTTATTTACTTGCTTCTGGGCTTCGCCCGCATACCCTAGCTGATGTGGAAAAGTGCGTTTCGAGGGAATTCGATAGAATCCTGAGCTTTACGTTACTCACTTTCATATTCATTAACTGTTCGATTTAACTCTGCACGAGTAATTTCGGTTCTTCAGATTTTTTTAATCAGTGGAAACTGTTCCTCCCAAATAGTCGCACTTTAAGTTTATTCACACGTCCCATTCAGTTATCTTAATGAAATTACTGCGTCGCACGATCTTTTCTAGTCACCT